GGAAGGTGGCAACAACAAGTAAGAGGGAGATGAAAGTGTATAAACTAAGGGAGGAGGAAGTTCGGGTGAGATATAAGCGACTATTGGCAGAAAGGTGGGCTAGTGCAAAGATGAGTAGTGGGGGGGGGGTTGAAGAGGGTTGGAATAGTTTTAAAAATGCAGTATTAGAATGTGGGGCAGAAGTTTGTGGTTATAGGAGGGTGGTGGGGCAGGAGGAAAGAGGAGTGATTGGTGGAATGATGAAGTAAAGGGTGTGATAAAAGAGAAAAAGGTAGCTTATGAGAGGTTTTTACAAAGCAGAAGTGTTATAAGAAGAGCAGAGTATATGGAAAGTAAAAGAAAGGTAAAGAGAGTGGTGAGAGAGTGCAAAAGGAGAGCAGATGATAGAGTGGGAGAGGCACTGTCAAGAAATTTTAATGAAAATAAGAAAAATTTTGGAGTGAGTTAAACAAGTAAAGAAAGCCTAGGGAAAGTATGGATTTGTCAGTTAAAAACAGAGTAGGGGAGTTAGTAGATGGGGAGATGGAGGTATTAGGTAGATGGCGAGAATATTTTGAGGAACTTTTAAATGTTAAGGAAGAAACAGAGGCAGTAATTTCATGCACTGGTCAGGGAGGTATACCATCTTTTAGGAGTGAAGAAGAGCAGAATGTAAGTGTGGGGGAGGTATGTGAGGCATTACGTAAAATGAAAGGGGGTTAAAGCAGCTGGAACTGATGGGATCATGACAGAAATGTTAAAAGCAGGGGGGGATATAGTGTTGGAGTGGTTGGTACTTTTGTTTAATAAATGTATGAAAGAGGGGAAGGTACCTAGGGATTGGCGGAGAGCATGTATAGTCCCTTTATATAAAGGGAAAGGGGACAAAAGAGACTGTAAAAATTATAGAGGAATAAGCTTACTGAGTATACCAGGAAAAGTGTACGGTAGGGTTATAATTGAAAGAATTAGAGGTAAGACAGAATGTAGGATTGCGGATGAGCATGTAGGTTTCAGAGTGGGTAGGGGATGTGTAGATCAAGTGTTTACATTGAAGCATATATGTGAACAGTATTTAGATAAAGGTAGGGAAGTTTTTATTGCATTTATGGATTTAGAAAAGGCATATGATAAAGTGGATAGAGGAGCAATGTGGCAGATGTTGCAAGTATATGGAATAGGTGGTAAGTTATTAAATGCTGTAAAGAGTTTTTATGAGGATAGTGAGGCTCAGGTTAGGGTGTGTAGAAGAGAGGGAGACTACTTCCCAGTAAAAGTAGGTCTTAGACAGGGATGTGTAATGTCACCATGGTTGTTTAATATATTTATAGATGGGGTTGTAAAGGAAGTAAATGCTAGGGTGTTCGGGAGAGGGGTGGGATTAAATTTTGGGGAATCAAATTCAAAATGGGAATTGACACAGTTACTTTTTGCTGATGATACTGTGCTTATGGGAGATTCTAAAGAAAAATTGCTAATAATAACTATTGTTATTATTAGCAATAGCAGAAATGTTCAATTCTTTGCTGTGTTCAAGAGTAAACACATGATGTCACCGTCTAATACCTTTCCTAATAGCCATTCCAATATGCAGTCATGAATGGGTTTACATTATTTATTCTGTAGTTTAATAGCAAATAATGAACAAACAAAACACTCACCACACTGAGTGGTGGGAGGGCTGGCTGCCAGTTGCGGGGGTCGGAGGGAGGGTTGTAGGGACTCGCAGTGGTGGAGGCAGTGGTGGAGTCTGTGGTATTTAATAACATACATGTTATTAACATGTTATTAAATAACATACGTTATTAAAGCTTAACATGTATATATTTAGTACGATTTACGAACGTTTTCGTGTATTTTATGATTATTCATGGTTCAACAAGTTAAGGAAGCAGTATTGTAATATGTTTCCGTACAATATATTGGGGCACCAAACATTCACGGTTTTACTACATTCGCGAGGCTCTTTATCCCCTAACCCTCGTGAATGTTGAGGGAGACCTGTATAGTGATCAAATGTACAAAAGTAAAATGGACTGTTAGTAAATATGGTGGTGAACAAAATCTTAGAAAGTAATATTAATTAAAAAAATAAAAAAGAAATAAGAAATAATTTCTGTTACATGTACATGTATTAATTTTTTTATGAACAACTACAGTACTGTACAGTGGTCCCTAGTTTTTCGTAATTAATCTGTTCCTGGAAGTGTGACTATTATTGAAATTGACGATTTTCGAATCCGTTTTCCTCATAAGAAATAATGTAAATACAGTTAATCCGTTCCTGACACCCAGAAGTATTAAACAAAAAAAATTTTTACGTGAAATATAGATGTAGTACATACACAAGTGCAGTGGGATGTGATGAATGAAACATTAACAGCATAACACTTACCTTTATTGGCAATTCTTCTTAGTGTATGAAAAACTGGAGGAGGAGAGAGATTGGATTAGTTACTGTTTGGAAGGGTAATCCCCTTCCATCAACACCTCAGGTACCAAGTGCTTTTCTGAGGTTACTTCTCTGTTTCTTAATGCCACTAGGACCAGCTTGAGAGTCACTGTACACCTGTGACACTAAATACTTGCCCAGAGAGCTCTGTTTCTGGCATCTCTTTAAAACTTCCCTAAAATGGGCCAAGACTTTGTCACTGTACAAGTTGCCGATATGGCTTGCAACAGCCTTGTAAGGGTGATGTTTCTCCATAAATCTTTCCATCCTACCCCACATTTCAAAAAATCTCCTTAATTTCTGAAGAAGGTGACTTCTTCCATCACTCTTCCTCCTCCTCTGCAGCAATATTCTGAGCTGCGGTCTGTTGCTGTTCCTGGTGACGCTCTTGCAGCTCCTCAGTAGGTTAACTCTTCGTTATGGTCCTCCACCAACTCTTCCACATCCTCCAAACTCACATCCAACCCCATGGAACTCCCCAATGCCACAGTAGATTTCACAACTGTCATAGGCTCATCAGGGTCAGCCCCAAACCCTTCAAAATCCCTCTTGTGGGCACAATCTGGCCACAATTTTCTCCGAGCAGAGTTCAAAGTCCTGGTAGTCACTCCCTCCCAAGTCTTACCTATAAGGCTTATGCAATGGAGGATACTGAAGTGATCTTTCCAAAACTCTCTTAGGGTAAAGTGAGTGTCTGTGGTCACATTAAAGCACCTTTGAAACATTGCTTTGGTGTAGAGTTTTTTAAAGTTTGAAATGACCTGCTGGTCCATAGGCTGGAGGAGAGGAGTGGTAATAGGGGGCAAGAATTTTACTGTGATGAACCCAAACTCCTCCAGAATTAGGTCATCCAAGTTTGGAAGATGAGCAGGTGCATTGTCCATTAGCAGGAGGCACTTGAGATCCAATTTCTTTTCCAGGAGGTAATTTTTCACACTAGGGCCGAACACTTCATTGAACCACTCGACAAAAATTTCCCTCGTGACCCATGCCTTATTATTAGCTTTCCAAAACACACAATTTACTCTTCATAACATTGTTTTTCCTGAACACTCTGGGATTTTCAGAATGGTACACTAGTAACGGCTTCACTTTGCTATCCCCACTTTCATTAGCACAAAACATGAGCGTAAGCCTGTGTTTCGTAGGCTTGTGTGCTGGCAGTCCCTTTTCCTTCTGAGTAATGTAGGTCCTCTTTGGCTTTTTCTTCCAAAAGAGGCCTGTTTTGTCACAATTGAACACGTGTTCAGGTTTCAATCCTTCAGCCTCTATGTACTCCTTGAATTCATCTATGAATTTTGTAGCTGTAATTTTGTCCAAACTGGCAGCCTTGCCATGCCTTATCACACTGTGTATGCCACTACGGTTCTTAAATCTCTCAGACAAGCCTTTGCTGGCCTTAAATTCACAAATATCAGTACTCGTTGCAGGCAATTTCTTTGAGATCGTCATGCAACTGCCTAGCCTTTTCACAAATAATTGACTGCATAAGACTATCTCCTGCTAATTGTTTCTCTTTTATCCAAACCAATAATAACTTCTCAACATCTTCGAGTACTGGTGATCTCATTTTTGTCAGCATAGTAGGTTGGTAGACAGCAACCACCCAGGGAGGTACCACCCTCCTGACAAGTGAGTGTAAAACCAAAGCCTGTAATTGTTTTACATGATGGTAGGATTGCTGGTGTCCTTTTTTCTGTCTCAGAAACATGCAAGATTTCAGGTAGTACCATCTTGCTACTTCTTACACTTAGGTCACACTACACATACATATTCGAGCATGTATATACTTACCCCTCTGGGTTTTCTTCTTTTTCTTTCTAGTTCTTGTTCTTGTTCTTGTTTATTTCCTTTTATCTTCATGAGAAAGTGGAACAGAATTCTTCCTCTGTAAGCCATGCGTGTTGTAAGGGCCGACTAAAATGCCGGGAGCAAGGGGCTAGTAACCCAATCTCCTGTACAAATTACTAAATTTAAAAAGAAAAACTTTAATTTTTCTTTTTGGGCCACCCTGCCTTGGTGGGATACAGCCGGTTTGTTGAAAGAAAAGATTTACCCCCTTTTCAACAACAGCTTCCTTGATTTCCTTTTTCTTGGCCATGATGGAAGCTATGGTTGTATGGGGTTTGTTATACACCCTGGCCAGTTCGGCCATACGTACTCCACTTTCATATTGTTCAATGATGTTTTTCTTGAATTCAGTCGTATTTCTCACCTTCTTTACCAAAGGCCTGGCACTAAGAGCTTTCTTTGGAGTCATGGTAGCTTATTTAGCAGATGCAAGCACTAAAATGAATGGAATATGTATTATGAAATATTTCGTATGAACAAGTGAGGGGACCGTCACTCGCTGGTAAACAATGGCACACTGGCTGGGAAGGGAGGGCGAGGCGGCTCGGAGCCATGTGTACGTGTCTGGGACGAACGATGATTTGCAAGACAATGTTTTGACAAAAATAACATTACGATTTTCAAAAATTACGACTATCGAGCCTTACGATTATCAAGGGACCACTGTATATCAGAGGTATAAGATATTTGTGATATGTAATACATATTTTATTTACAGATGTATGAAGAATGGATCGAATCTCTTAAAGAAGCTGCAGAAGATCCTGGCACTGTCATCACTGCAATTACTGGATCAGGAGATTACTATTGCTCTGGAAATGATCTTTCTAATTTTGCCAACATAGATCCAAGCAAAATGCATGAGAGCTCCAAAGAAGCAGGAGTTCTATTAAATAGGTAAATAAATATAATAGAAGAAACTCTACAGTTACTGTTACTCCAGGTAGGTAGACTTGATCACAGAACCTAATTTTTTTTATTTTATTTTTATTAAATTACATCGGCCGTCTCCCACCAAGGCAAGGTGGCCCAGAAAAAGGAAAACTTTCATCATCATTCACTCCATTACTGTCTTGCCAGAAATGTGCTTACACCACAGTTATAAAACTGCAACATTAACTCTTTCAGGGTCCAGAGGCCAAATTTCAGAGTGTGCACCAAGGTCCAAGAATTTTCAAAAAATAATTTTGTTATTTTTTCTTATGGAATGGTGGAGAATCTTTTTCTGAAGGTAATAAAACAAAAAGTACAAAATTTGATGGAAAATTTACGAAATTATGCTCTAGTGAATTTTGATGCGTCAGCGATATTTATGAATCGGCGATTTTGCCAACTTTGACTCCCATTTTACGCCAATTACATTATTCCAATCAACCAAATTCTTAGCTATTTCACTAGTACTACTTCTATTCTTTCGATTGAGCACAAGAAATCGCCAGGTCAACTGTTTCAACTGCAAAATAAAATGATCAGAAATTGGTAATTTGGCCAATTGAACGCAAAGTTCAAAATATTCCATTTTCAAAATAGGGTCTAGAATAAACAATGCAGGCATTCCTGGCACTAAATTAACATTTCCTCTGTTCATCAGTTACGTTTTCAGGCTTTACAAATTGATTCCATTTTAATTTTTTATTCACATAATGAATTTTTATTCAAACCAAAAAATAGAAGAGTTACTGTTATGCAATATTGTAATAATTGTACAGTATAAATAATATCTCCACATTTGTGAATGTATATTAGACCCACCAGCTGGCGTGTATTAGACATGTGAGGTCATTTTTTTTACTCTTGAACATCGACAAAAATTTAACATTTCCGCTACTTTGAGCTCAGTTTCAAGCCATTTCCATTACTAAAACCAATGAAAATCATCTCCATTTCTGTAATATATCTTCCATTCTATCAAATGAGACCAAGAAATCGCAAATAAAACCATAAAAAAACATAGGAAAAACACTGCAAAATCTCTGTTTTAATCGAAAATTATGGTCTTTTTTTTTTTTCTCATTATGCACTGTGTGCTTCAGGATTTGTTTTATGTGGTGCACACATGCCAAATAGATGTATTCTCTCGAATCTAGGCCCAAATTTACCGCTCACAGCTTATCAGAGCGAGTTGAGCTCATGGCGTAGTTCTACGGTTTGGACGCTCAACTCAAAACCGTAGAACTACAGCACGGACCCTGAAAGGGTTAACATCCCTCCTCCTTCAGAGTGCAAGTACTGTACTTCCCATCTCGAGGACTCAAGTCCGACCTGCAAGTTTCCCTGAATCCCTTCATAAATGTTACCTTGCTCACACTCCAACAGCATGTCAAGTCCTACAAACCATTTGTCTCCATTTGTTGCTGTCTAACATGCTCACGTGTGCATGGACAAAGTTCTTTGTCTCCATAGACTCTTAAGTGCACCACTCACCTTTTTCCCTTCATCAGTTCTGTGATTCACCTCATCTTTCATAGACCTATCTGCTGACACATCCACTCCTAAATATTTGAGTGCATTCACCTCCTCCTCCATACTCTCTCCCTCCAGTCTGATATCCAATCTTTCATTATCTGATTTTTTGTTATCCTCATCATCTTACTCTTTCTTATATTCACTTTTAATTTTCTTCTTTTACATACCCTACCAAACTCATCCATCAACCTCTGCAGCTTCTCTTCAGAATCTCCCAAAAGCACAGTGTCATCAGCAAAGAGCAACTATGACAACTCCCACGTTGTGTTAGATTCTTTATCTTTTAACCCCACACCTCTTGCCAACACCCGAGTGTTCACTTCTCTTACAACTCATCTATAAATATATTGAACAACCATGGTGACATCACACATCCTAGTCTAAGGCCTACTTTACTGGTAAATAATCTCCTTCTCTCCTATATACTCTAACCTGAGCCTCACTATCCTCATAGAAACTCTTCACTGCTTTCAGTAACCTACCTCCTATTCCATGCATTTGCATCATTTCTCACATTGCTCCCCTATCCACCCTGTCATATTTTTTTTTTTATTATCACACTGGCCGATTCCCACCAAGGCAGGGTGGCCAGAAAAAGAAAAGCTTTCACCATCATTCACTCCATCCTCGAAAGGGTTGGAAAGAGGGGGTAAAGGAGGTTTTGTGGGCGACGGGCTTGGACTTCCAGCAAGCGTGCATGAGCGTATTAGATAGGAGTGAATGGAGGCGAATGATACTTGGGACCTGACGATCTGTTGGAGTGTGAGCAGGGTAATATTTAGTGAAGGGATTCAGGGAAACTGGTTATTTTCATATAGTCGGACTTGAGTCCTGGAAATAGGAAGTACAATGCCTGCACTTTAAAGGAGGGGTTTGGGATATTGGCAGTTTGGAGGGATATGTTGTGTATCTTTATACGTATATGCTTCTAAACTGTTGTAGTCTGAGCACCTCTGCAAAAACAGTGATAATGTGTGAGTGTGGTGAAAGTGTTGAATGATGATGAAAGTATTTTCTTTTTGGGGATTTTCTTTCTTTTTTGGGTCACCCTGCCTCGGTGGGAGACGGCCGACTTGTTGAAAAAAAAAAAATTGCACAAATGTTGCACATGGGTTATTATCGAGGTTTTTGATATTTCCTGGACCACTTATGGCCACATCCACCTCAAAGCCACTAAACTCAGGGTCAACATCACTTTCCTCTTAAAATGGGAGTGTTAATACTATATGACATCCGTGAATCCCAAGTGTTTGCCTCACTGCTTTCTCTAGCTGGCGCTTAACTGAACTGGTGCTCCCATAGGGTATTAGTGGTCCCAGATTTTTTTAATACTGCACGCACACTGACCAGGCATCTCAGGCCAATCGTGCCAAATTTGGAGGCAGGAAATATAAAATGTAGATCTACGTTTGAAGTGTTAGCAGCAAGAACATAGATCTGCGTTTGGACCGTTTACGGGTTAAGTGACCAATAGAACTAGGCAAAAAAAAAAAAAATGCATATACAGTACACTCATTACATAAAATATTTTCATTTTTAGCTTAGAGTGAGTGATGAGCAGCATTAGCCCCTAGCAAGAGTGTTAGCCTGTCTTTTGCAACTTCTCTTCTTTAGCAATAAATGACCTAGAGAGTATCTTCTTCCATAATAATGTGGTTTCATCGACATTAAAAATCTGTTGCTTGGTAAATCTGCCACATTTGATAAACCGTTATTGTAGACAGCCTGTACTGTCTGCACAGACAGCCCATGCTGTCTGCCAGCTTAGTTCATATTTTGCGCCATGCTGGTGCTGCCACCTAGAGGCCTTGCCACTTCAGTATGCCCAGACTTGCCTCACCCTCTCTCACACAGCAGCCTAGCAGGAAGACACAAGTACTCCCAGCTCTCTCTCGTGGGCATAGCCCTCCCGGGCCATGGGCACAACACAAGCCTGTGTACCCACCACTACTTAAGAATAAAAGAAGAAGCCTCTGAAGACATATCATTAACTCCCCACTACCAGAATACCAAACAAATTCCCTTTTTATATTATTCACTCTGCACTTTGATGTTGTGAAGTTAGCTTCTTTCCCTGCACCTTTCAAACCAGCCTCTGCTAGCTTCGAATTTATCTTCAGTATGTATTAAGTGTGCAGTAGAGCTAGGCCTACAAAAAAAAAAAAAGGTTACAAAAGTAAATGGAATGTAAAAAATTGCCAGAATACAAACACACACAGCTCACAAATTCTGTAAACAGACTGAATCACTGACAGTACACCCTGGCTCATGGGAGCTGTTATGCAGGCTGTTGCATTAATGTGATGATAATTTGTATATGTAAGGTATATTGTAGGGAAACTGCTCCATAAATGTATATAGACAGGTGCTCCTCAACTTACAATGAGGTTACGTTCCAACAAGCCCATCAGAAGTCGTAAATATCGCAAGTCGAATATGAATATAATTTTTTTTTTCAACAAACTGGCCATATCCCACCAAGGCAGGGTGGCCCAAAAAGAAAAGCGAAAGTTTCTCTTTTTAAATTTAGTAATTTATACGGGAGAAGGGGTTACTATCCCCTTGCTCCCGGCATTTGAGTCGCCTCTTACAACACGCATGGCTTACGGAGGAAGAATTCTTTTCCACTTCCCCAGATAAGAGGATATTAAACAAGAACAAGAACTTGAAAGAAAATAGAAGAAAACCCAGAGGGGTGTGTATATACATGCTTGTACATGTATGTGTAGTGTGACCTAAGTGTTAGTAGAAGTAGCAAGACGTACCTGAAATCTTGCATGTTTATGAGACAGAAAAAAGGACACCAGCAATCCTACCATCATGTAAAACAATTACAGGCTTTGGTTGTACACTCACTTGGCAGGACAGTAGTACCTCCCTGGGCGGTTGCTGTCTACCAACCTGCTACCTAGGATGAATATAATATTCTGACTAAATAAGTAATTACTGTCACTGAATAAGTAAATAAACAAATAATTATTGTAACTAAATACCAGTACTGAACAGTGAATAAATGAATGCAAGTTATAGATTTGCATCCTGGGTAATTATCTTAAGTTTCATGTCCAAAGTAATTGCTTTTACACCATTGTAAAGTCGAAATATCACAAGTCAAACCATCATAAGTCAAGGAGCACCTGTAATGTCAGTGTTTTGGGTGGACATGTAATAGACACTGTCAGATGGACATGTATTAAACGCACTTGGACAGGTATTGGACGTCCATTTTTCAAGACGTACCTGAAATCTTGCATGTTTATGAGACAGAAAAAAGACACCAGCAATCCTACCATCATGTAAAACAATTACAGTGGAACCTATACTTGTGAGTTTAATCCATTCCATGACCTTGCTCGCAACTGGATTTGCTCGTTTGCAGAGTCAATTTTCCTCATTTAAATTAATTGAAATGCAATTAATCCGTTCCAGTGGAATTCTGTACTTCAGTAATTTCGCTAATATCAACTCTACGGCTTATTTATCTATCTCGCTTCATCTAATGTGACATAATAATTAACATAGAAACCTGATATATACTCTAAAATGAATAAAATATGTAATTCATGTTATGCATTATTGCAATAATTGTATAAATAATGTCAACCCAAGCAATGGAGCATTTCTCATATGTTGAGCTCAATAGAAAATAGAAGAAAACCCAAAGGGGTGTGTATATATATGCTTGTACATGTATGTGTAGTGTGACCTAAGTGTAAGTAGAAGTAGCAAGACATACCTGAAATCTTGCATGTGTATGAGACAGAAAAAAAAAAGACAACAACAATCCTACCATCGTGTAAAACAATTACAGGCTTCAGTTTTACACTCACTTGGCAGGACAGTAGTGCCTCCCTGGACGGTTGCTGTCTACCAACCTACTACCTAGGTATTATTATTATTATACGTATTATTATTATACATATTATTATTATTATTATTATTATTATTATTACAATGTAAATAATTTGTAATTTTTATTCCCACAAAAAATATAAGATTTACTGTTATGCATTATTGCAATAATTGTATAAATAATGTCAACCCAAGCAATGGAGCATTTCTCATATGTTGAGCTCAATTTAAAGGTACTTTTCATTGTGAAAGCAATCAAAATTATGTCTATTTCTGTAATACGTATATCTTCCATTCTATCATATGAGACCAAAATAACGAAAATACAACCATAAAAACCATACGAAAATACCCCTAAGGAGTGGCTAATTGCTGAGAAGTGAACTCCATTATTTATTCTCCAATTTCTTTCATGTTTGGTGTAAGTTAAGAAGCATCTTTCCATCACACATTGCCCAAGTTTCAATTAGATAGTCCAACAAACAAATGAGATACAATTCCCTAGATCAAGAGCAAGAGCCCCTCACCAGCATCAAGGAACCTGCCTTGAGGTCTGCTCGCTTATGGAAATTTTGCTCGCTTATGGAAGCAAAAAATCGACCCATCGACTGCTCATATTTGGAAAAACTCGCACGTGGATGCGCTCACTAGTAGAGGTTCCACTGTATGTGTAAATTACTTAGGATAACCCAAAAAAATAAAAATGACTGTGCGAAATACAGTGAACCCCCAGTTTTCATCCGGTGCGGAAATGGCACAATTCTGATTTTGAGCACTTTTTTGGGCGAAATTTTCCCCTGGGTTTCGTACATCCACTCGGAAATCGTCCATATCAGATGCGTCCACCCGCCTGGGACGCCACTTGTCACACGTACCAGACTTCGTCTGCCCCTCTCTATCATTGAGTTAGCAATACTCCACATGTTCATCCATTGTTTTTGTGCTTGTTTATTGATTGCGACTCTGAAATAAGCCACCATGGGGCCAAAGAAAGTTCAGAGAGCAGCCCTTTGGTAAAGAAGGTGAGAAACCTGGTAGAATTCAAGAAAGAACACATAGAATGAGTTGCAAAGTTTTGTGGAGAAATATCACTACCACCCTCTACAAAGGAAGAGGATGGTAGTGATTGTGGTATTGATGGTGATACAAGGTGGTAGTGATGGTGGTACAGGGTGGTAGTGATGGTGGTACAGGGTGGTAGTGATGGTGGTACAGGGTGGTAGTGATGGTAGTAGAGGGTGGTAGTGATGGCAAACAATCAAAGATGTTGAGAAGTTGTTGTTGGTGTGGCTCAGCAAAAAACAGTTAGCGGGAGATAGTGTTGTGGAGGCAATAATTTGCGAAAAGGCAAGGCAGTTGCATGTGGATCTCGTAAATAATATGCCAGCAAGAGTCTTCAGTAAAGGTAAAGCTGATTTAAATTTAGTTCATTTATCCATTAAAATTAATGCTTTATATTAATTTCTCATTGTTTTCTGTATGTAAAACTATAGTTATTCTTTATAAAATGTATGTTTTGTTAATATTTTTTGGCCGCCTGCAACAGATTAATTGGATTTACATTATTTCTTATGGGAAGTATTACTTCGGTTTTCGTCCATTTCGGATTTCAGTTGACCTTCTGGAACAGACTTAAGGATGAAAACTGTAGTGATTTTTTAATGTACTTGCATGCCAGCACAGTAAGTTTATTTTGATACAGATATACTTAAGTACAATTATCAGTACTTTCACAGCCATAGACATATTTTGCTCACTGAGTTTAATTATTTCTAACTTTGCACTTAAAATAAGAGCCTTGTGACTCCTCATTTTATCACAGCTACCCTTAGATGCCATTGTAGCACAAAAAGAGTATACAGTAGGGCCCGCTGTACAGCGTTTTGCCTTACGGCATTCCTCTAACATGGACCTTTCAAATTATGACCAAAACTCTCTATACGGCTCCCCTACCTGACTCTAATACGGTCACCGCGCCCCACCCGGTTTGTTTACATTCTCAGTGACCATGACTCTCCATTATGTCTGGAAACTTTCAAAAATTTCAAGTGTTTTAAACTTATTTCATATTTTATATATACTCTGATTATTATACACCTACCATCCGACTTACGACCGAGTTCGGTTCCGAGAAACCGGTCGTAAGTCGAAATGGACGCAAGTCGAATTACTACTGAATATCAACATCACATTTTTGTAATGACTTTATTTTATTGTTTTATTTTGGTGTTTCATGTTTTACTTTACTTTTTATGCTGTTAGTACTGTATTTTATACTGTAAGGTTTAGGATAAACACTGTTTACAACACAAATAGTTATTTATTTCCCAGAAATTTGGCAAAAAAAACACAGTCGTACGTCGAGTGGTCGTAAGTCGAGCAGGTCGTAAGTTGGATGGTAGGTGTACTTATGTGGACTTGTACTTAAATAAACTTGCACACTGTGCTGGCGTGCAGGTACATGTTAAAATCACCAATAGTGTCTTATTAGTCTTGAAGACACCATAACCCCTTGACTGTCGCAACCCCATATCCTGAGGTGTCTCCTGGTATCGTAAAATTTCTGAAAAAAAAAAAAAATCTCATGAAATGATAGAAAATCTTTTCTCGATTGTAACGACACTGAAAGAACGAAATTTGATGGAAAACTAATGGAATTACGCTCTCGCGAAGTTAGTGGCCTCGGCGATATTGACGAATCGGCGATTTCGCCCACTTTGAGCCCTATTTTCAGCTAATTCCATTGTTCCAGTCGATCAAACTCATAGCTATTTCTGTAGAACTCATTTGTTCTATCGATTGAGTATAGGAAACTGCCCATTTACCGATTTCAGCTACCCAATAACGTGGTCAGAAATTTGCAATTTGGCCAATTTCACGAAAATTAAAAAAATATAACAATTTCAAAATAGGGTCCAGAATGAACAATGCAGACATTCCTGGCTCTAAAATAACATTTTCTTTGTTCATCAGTCACGTCTCCAGGCCCCTCTGATATTACTCTTGCTTTCTATTTTGAATTTTTATTCAAAAAAAAGAAATTGAAGATTTACTGTTATGCAGACTACTGCAATATTGTAATAATTGTATAAATAATGTCAACCCATTCATGACTGCATATTAGAATGGCTAGTTGGACATTTATTGGACAATGACATCATTTGTTTACTTTTGAACATCGGCAAAAATCAAACATTTCCCCTACTTTGAGCTCCATTTCAAGGTTTTTATCATAGTAAAACCAATCAAAATCACCTCTATTTCTATAATATGTTTTTCATTCTATCAAATGAGACCAGGAAAACGAGAATACAACCATACTGTAATTTGAAACAGCTGTATTAGCAAAGCAACGAAAAGTGAAGCTCTGTAAACTGGGGCCCTACTCTAAGCAGGAAGAGTCTTCATTGTAGATGTTTCACACACAGTAGCACTTTATCATGTGAATGAAACATCTAAAATATTTTTTTCTCCCAATAATTCATTAATAATTCTTAGTAATTCATTTTCACTTTCATTCTCCAGGCATTGTTATTTAAAATAATTTTTTTTTTTCAGATTTGTGTCTGCTTTTATTGACTTCCCCAAGCCACTGGTAGCTGTTGTTAATGGTCATGCTATTGGAGTGTGTGTTACTGTCATGGCACTATTTGATGCTTATGCTTTATGCTTCAGATATGGTTAGTTTATTACATATAGGAAATTTTACTGAATAACATGTAGCATGTTATCTTAGGATGATACATACAATATATGCTTCAGATGTCAACAAACTTGACAGGGTAAGTTATCTTCTTAAGATTTTAGTAGTTTTAGAGGCTTCCTTTTCTATAATTTAATTCTCACATAAGAGGGGATATTGGCAGTTTGGAGGGATATGTTGTGTATCTTTATATGTGTATGCTTCTAGACTGTTGTATTCTGAGCACCTCTGCAAAAACAGTGATAATTGTGCGAGTGTGGTGAAAGTGTTGAATGATGATGAAAGTATTTTCTTTTTGGGGATTTTCTTTCTTTTTTGGGTCACCCTGCCTCGGTGGGAGACGGCCGACTTGTTTGAAAAAAAAAAAAAAAAATAAAAAATTTACATTTTTTTGTCACTGCTTACATAGAATTGGTAAAATATTGTGACAGTTTAGACAATCTCACCTAACTTTGAATATTTTCTAGTGATGATTAAATTAATCTTTATACTGAAAAGAATTGCAGATCTACTTATAATCTGCACACAAAAAAGGCTGACAGTTATGCAAGACTTATGCAAAGTACATTCTGATGATGCCACTATTAGTGGAACTGGCCTAGAGGGGTTGGAGATGTTCATTGGCATTGATGTGTGCATTGCTTTCCAGTTTTTGTCGATTTTTCCTTACTAAAATGGGAGGTAAGGCAGGAGGCATAGCATATATCCAGTTAACAGTAAAGGTACCATACAAATTACAAAATGCCATCATTATTTATGATCTAATTATTGGCTTGTATATTTAGGTTTCTAGTTGATGAAGGGCTAGTTATACACCTTCATAGACTGGTGGTTTACTGACTGCATTTTACGATGAACAAGATGCTCTGGTGTCGAGGATGCCCCCAATTCTGACTGGCTAAATTTTGGAAAATGAAGATGAATGGTATCCATGGTAATAACATTATGTTAAGCCTGAGGCATTACATGTTGATGGTTCATTCTGTGGTTGTTTACCACTGATGCAGCTGACTGGCAGGTTGCCAAATGAAATTTTCAAATATTTGGGCTATTAGAAATTTTTTTCAGTAGAATTGTAAAACATTCATTGATGAATGATTATTGTGAAAATGATTTCATTCCATTCATTATTATTAGTAAAATTATAGTAAATAGGTCAATAAGTTACTTTCAAGTTATTCAAGGAAAACTGGGGCAAGCATATTACTTTTTTTCTCAACACGTCGGCCATCTCCCACCATGGCAGGGTGACCCAAAAAAGAAAAACACTTTTACCATTCATTCAACATTTTCACCATCATTTACACTTAATCACTATCTTTGCAGAGGTGCCCAGATATGACAGTTTAGTTGTCACTCCAAACAGCCAATATTCCAAACCCCTCCTTTAAAGTACAGACATTGTACTTCCCACCTCCAGTACTCAAGTCTGGCTAACTAGTTTCCCTGAATCCCTTCACAAAATATTACCCTGCTAACACTGCAATAGCTCATCAGGCCCCAAAGACTATTTATCTCCATTCAATCCTATCTAATACACTCACACATGCCTGCTGCATGTCCAGGCCCCTTGCACATACAACCTTTTTTTACCCTCTCCCTCCATCCTTTCCTAGGATGACCCCAACCCCTCCTCCCCTCCACTACAGATTTTTTTTTTTATTTTATTATTAAAAATACACTCTCTAAGTCCATTCTGTTTTGCTCCATCCTCTCTAAATGACCAAACTTCAGCCCTCTGAATAATACTTTTTGTAACCCCACACCATCTAATTTCCACACTACGAATTCCGTGCATAATATTTACACCACACATTGCCCTTAGGTAGTAGGTTGGTAGACAGCAACCACCCAGGGAAGTACTACCGTCCTGCCAGATGACTGTGAAACAAAAACCTGTAACTGTTTTGCATGATGGTAGGATTGCTGGTTTCTTTTCCTGTCTCATAAACACGCCTAATAACAGGGATATCATGCTACTCCTACTACACATTGTCAACTACTTCACAGACACCACATGCATATTATATATATATATACATACATCTAGGTTTTCTCTCTTTTTCTAAATAGCTCTTGTTTCTTTTTTAATTTCTTCCTATTGTCCAGGGGAAGTGGAAAAAGAATCTTTCCTCCGTAAGCCATGCGTGTCTATAGGCGACTAAAATGCCGTTAGAATGGCTAGTAACCCCTTCGTCCTGTATACATTAACTACAAACGAGAAAAGAAGAAAAACTTTTATAAAATTGGGATGCTTAAATGTGCGTGATGTAGTGCGGAGACAAAAACAGATGATTGCTGATGTTTATGAATGAAAAGAATTGATGTCCTGGGCTCTAAGCAAACAAAGCTGAAGGGGGTAGGAGAATTCAGTGTGGAAATAAATGGGGATTAGAATCTGAGTATCTGAGAGAGTTAGAGCAAAGAAGGGTAGCAGTAAATGTTAAATGATCAGTTATGAAGGAGAAAAGAGAATATGAATGTGTAAATTCAAGAATTAATGTGGATAAAAAGTAAAGGTTGGATGCGAGAAGTGGGTCATAATAAGCGTGGTATGCACCTGGAAAGAGAGGAATGCAGAGAGAGAGAAGAGATTTTGGGAGATGTTAAGTGAATGTATAGGACCTTTGGAACCAAGTGAAGAAGTAATTGTGGTAGGGGACCTGAATGCTAAAGTAGGAAGAAAACTTTTAGAGAGGTGTGGTAGGTAAGTGGGTGCCCAGGTAAAAAAAAAAAAAAAAAAATAGGAATAATGGGCGCCCTTTGATTGGAACTTTGTAGAGAAAGGGGTTTAGTTATAGGTATTATACTTATTTAAGAAAAAGAGGATAAATAAGTATACACTATAGATGTAGGGCGAAATGACAGTAGTTTTGTTGGATTATGTATTGGTAAGATAAAATAACTGTGATTAACTCAGGAGTACATGTATATAGAGGGGCCACAGATTATCAGATCACTTTCTAGTTGTAGCTACACTGAGAGTAAAAGGTAGATGGATACTAGGATAATAGAACATCAGGGAAGAGAAGAGGTAAGGTTTTATAACCTAAAAGAGGAGGCATTAGGGTAAGATATAAACAGCGAGTGGAGATAGATGGCTAATGAGAGCATAGGCAATGGGTCGAAGAGGTATGGGGTAGGTTTAAAATGTATGTTTAGAGTGTTCTACAGAAAGTTTGTGGTTACAGGAAAGTGGGTGCAGGAGGGAAGAGAGTGATTGGTGGCATGATGAGGTAAAGAGAGTAGTAAGGGAGAAAAAGTTAAGCATATGAGAATTTTTTACAAAGAGAGAGTGAAAGCCAGGAGGGAAGAGTATATGGAGAAAAAGAGAGAGTTAAGAGAGTGGTGAAGCAATGTAAAAAGAGAGCAAATGGAGAGAGTGGGTAGAATGTTATCAAACAAATTTTTGTTGAAAATAAGAAAAGTTTTGGAGTGAGATTAACAAGTTAAAGAAAGCCTAGAGAACCAAAATGGATTTGTCAGTTAAAAAAGGAGAGGAGAGTTATTCAATGGAGAGGGTTAGGAGGGGATTGAAGATGGAGGAATATTTGAGGAATTGTTTAAATGTTGATGAAGATAAGGAAGCGTGATTTCGTGTATAGGGCAAGGAGGAATAACATCTTGTAGGAGTGAGGAGAGCCATTGTGAGTGTGGGGAATTCGTGAGGCAGTAGTAAAATGAAAGGGGGTAAGGCAGCCGGGATTGATTGGAGAAAGATAGAAATGTTAAAAAGCAGGTGGGATATAGTTTGGTAGTGGTTGGTGCATATTATTTAATAAATGTATGGAAGAGGGTAAGGTACCCTAGGATTGGCAAGATGAGCATGCATAGTTCCTTTGTATAAAGGCAAGGGGATAAAAGGAGTGCAAAAATTATAGGGGGATAAGTCGTTTGAGTGTACCTGGTAAAGTGTATGGTAGAGTTTATAAATTTGAAAGAATTTTATGAGTAAGACGGAGAATAGGATAGCAAGATAACAAGGATGCTTTAGGAAAGTAGGGGTGTGAGGACCAGGTTTTACAGTGAAACATATAAGTGAAACAGTATTTTAGATAAGGCTAAAGAGGTCTTGTTGCATTTATGGATTTGGAAAAGGCGTATGACAGGGTGGAACAAGGGGGGCAATGTGGGCAGAATGTTGCATTGTATGGTGTAGGAGGTAGTTTACTGAAAGCAGTGAAGAGTTTTTACGAGGATAGTTGAGGCTCAAGTTATGGTATGTAGAAAGAGGGAAATAATTCCCAGTAAAAAGTAGCCAGACCAAGGATGTGTGATGTCACCGTGGTTGTTTTAATATATTTATAGATGGGGTTGTAAGAGAAGGAAATGCGAGGGTCTTGGGCAAGAGGCTTGTGAGTTAAAAGATCAAGAATCACACACAAAGTGGGAGTTGTCCCCACAGCTTGCTGTTTGCTGATGACACTGTGCTCTGGAGATTCTAAGAGAAGCTGCAGCGATTGTGGATGAATTTGGTAGGGTGTTGCAAAAGAAGAAAATTAAAGGTGAATACAGGAAAGTAGTAAGGTTATGAGGATAACAAAAAGATTAGGTGATGAAAGATTGAATAGCAGATTGGAGGGAGTAAGAGTATGGAGGGAGGTGAACGTATTCAATATTTGGGAGTGGACTGTGCACGCTGGGTCTAGAAAGATGCGGTGAATCATAGAATTGATGAGGGAAAAAGAGTGAGGTGTGCACTTAGGAGTCCGTGGAGACAAAGAACTTTTGTCCTTGAGGAAGAGGGGAATGTATGAGAGTATAGTTTTACCAACGCTCTTATATGTGGGTGTGAAGCGTGGGTGATGAATTTGCAGGCGAGGGGGGGAGAAGGCGAGGCAGTGGAGATGTCATGTCAGAGGGCAATGTGTGGTGTGAATATAATGCAGAGAATTCGTAGTTTGGGAAGTTAGGAGGAGGCGGGATTACCAAAACTGTTGTCCATTAGGGGCTGAGGAAGGGTTTGTTGAGGTGGTT